CTTTATTATATCAAGGATACGAATTGGTTGGTTGTCTGATATTAGGAGCAGTAGAGCTCCCTGTGAAAGTGTTCGTCCAGGGAAGTACTGCAACCTTGCCTATTTCTGCCGTCAAGTAATAATTTGAGCATTACTGCGGTTCCGGTTTTCAAGGGTAAGCGTGCTGGTGAAATTACAGGCACATGGGAGTTGTCAACTTATGTCTAAACATAAAGTGACTTAAAGTTCTGACAGACACTGGAACTACTATAAACAGGCGTGACGCTTACCACCAGGCCCACGACTTGTTACAGTGTGTCTGGTGACTTGTTACATTCATATTGTGTCTGGTGAATTAAATATCATCACCATCCAGACACGTATACTTACAACTGATGGAGTTTTGTACGGGAAGCGACAAAATCGATTCGCTAATCGGATGTAGGTTCTTTACAGATAGTTATTCAGTATCATGGGTTGAATAATTCAATGAAATTATGTTCTAGTCGAGTGTCCTATACATGGCTACTTATAAGTTTTTTTAAGAGTAATAGGTAATTTAACCCTAATCTCACTTAATGGTAAGGGACTTAGTGGTCGAAGATAGAGCGTGCGTCCTTCGAAACTGCTTATTCATCCTCGCTATGAAAAGGTCCGAGTTATATTAGATGGGGCATGGAATCCACATCTCAGCTATCCAAATCAAGAAAATGATATAAAAGGGATGGGTGTCTAATGCAAATGTCTCTATACATGTCCTCATTGAAGAAAGAAGTGAGACAAAAATGATTATTTTAGAAATATGCTAGTAACCGTGAGACAAAAAACCAAATTGTACTCATTAAGTGGAATTTGGTTTGTGTATAGTGCCAATTTACATATGTTATGAAAGCAACATTTCTTTGCTCGTGAAATCGGTCGTGAGTCGGTTTTAGATGACGAATAATAATAGATGTCCATAATATTAACCTTAGAAGTAAGTCCAAACTCATGGTACTACGATTTAGTTTAACTGACGCTCACACACTCAACAACTTACACCCAAATTCACGAGAGAAATAAATGTGAGCCAGACAAATATTTCTCCCGGCCCGGGAATCAAACCTCTGCGTTGTGGTCCAGCATCGTAACCGTTCGGCCAACGAGGCAGTCAAGTCAAGTTAGACAATCAAGTCAAAGTCAACTAAGGTAAACGATTCTTTTATGGGGAATTGTATACGTTTTTAAAATAACATTCCGGAGCATATATTAAGATCATCATTTCCTAAGTTTCAAACTAACATTAAAAGTATTTTAATTGAAAAGCCATATTACAAAATTGAAGACTACGTTTTAGATAAAGATGTATGCAAAGGCGACAGGGTTTAGATTCCACACAAATTTGATTCGAAGTGTATTCCATAGCATTTAAGTTTATTTGAAAAGAGCAATCCCTAGAGTTTCTCACTCGTTCTTTTCTGGAAACGAGCAGTAGCTTAAAAAATTATGTTTAAAGTGTAAATTTGTTTTAGGTACCTGTGGAATAAATGATACTTTGGCTATGAATGTACCTTAATGTTATGACATTATAGTTGAAATTTCAATAATAATGGTCGTAGCTACGCAAACAACGCTGCGGTAATACCGTGTCGGTAGCCTTCGGGATGCTTCGGCAATCATTTACGTTTAATAAACGTTTAAAATATGTTCAATAGAATACAAACCTGAAATCCTTCAGCTTCAGATAGAAGAAAGTAGAAGCATCCGAACCAATGCGCCAAGATGAGCAGAATGTGTATGAGGTTGATCACTCTCCAGAAATTCGGGTACACCGTACGGGATTCCACGATGTAATAGCAGTCTACTGCTCTGTATACCTGCAAGAAGTAAGAGGAAATTATATTTTCATAATTGCCATAACAACTAATAACCAAATAAGTATGGACGACTTCGGTGGTCTAGCGATTTATGCTGTGTGTGCTGTAAGGCTGATTTGGGAAACGGACTTTTCAAAAGTGGTTCTGGTTTGGGTGTTCTGGGAAGTCCTCCAGAGTGAATTTCGTTGCTATGGTAATCATTGTATAAGGAAATTGCTATTTTGAGACTAGGCAATTGGTGTTGCCAACTATTTTTATTATGTAAAAATCTAGAAAATAGGGTGCATGGAGATACTGCTACAAATCTTCTACTATTGCCCTTTGTTTTTACGACATCCAATGGAAGGTTGGATGGACAACTTTAAGTTCAAAATCAATGTTGAAGTTTCTCTAAACTTAACTCAATTCTAAAATATAGTATTTCACTTTAGTAGGAATATAAGCTCCTTGTGAAAGAGTTCGTCCAGGGAAGTACTGCCAACTTACTTATTTCTGCCGTCGAGCAGTATGTGTGCATTACTGCGTTCCGGCTTGGAAGGGAAAGGGTGCTGGTGAATTTACAGGCATATGGGACTTATCAACTCATGTCTCAGGGTGGCGCAGTGGCAGTGCCGATATGATCTTGAACGAAAAAATTTTTATTTTCATTTTTAAATATTATTCCATCGGCCTGCGCGCATGTGTCACGCGATAGAATAATTTGTTAATCATTTGTGGAACATGTTGTTGGTTCATATTTAGTTATTTATTCTTATCAATGTTTGTTATATTTTCTTGTTTAATATGTAACTGTTTGTGTTCTTCTTATAAATAAATAAATAAATAAATAAATCTTTGCGATTTAAAGCTCTCAGTGGCACTGCTACTGTTGTGGGTGGATGGTGTCGCTTACCACCAGGTGCTCAACTTATTCGTCCGATCGCTTGATATTATAAAAGAGAAAAAAATATGCAGACCGCTTCATAATTCAAATTCGCGCTTAAAAATTCTCACAGTACTAATAAATTCTTTTAAAACTAAGGTTTGACACACACTGGTACACGGCATTTTACAATTGCAATTTGTTTTTCGAAACTCATTTCTTGACTACAGAAATAGAAACTTGGTGAATATATCTGATATTATATTACGAACGTCAAGCTGAAAGAAAGTTAGACTGCATTAGCAACCTTATGCACCTCATGTAATGCAATGCATAGATATGAGTTAGATTGCTTCACAGGTGTTCAATGTGAAAAAGAAAAGGAGAGAAAGATCAAAGAATAAGTATATGTGTATGAAGGGAAGAGGGTAACAACGAGATGAACAAAGGTAGTAGTATGAAAGGGGAAAAAAACATACCGTCCTGGTATGAAGTCCATGATATTGGTCGTAATCACGGGAGAAAAAAAAACCAATAGAAATGTCTTACGTCTAGATTACTATCAGAACCGCTGTAGCTAAAACGCAAACAAATTGATAAACACTATGAAGTATTGGTAATGATTGGTCGTGGTCTCTAATTGAAAAAGATGGAACAAATTCTGGACTGTTAATATAATTTCAACTTTACTCAGTCGCCATATCGTTGAAAGTTCAATGCCTTTTTGGTAAGTTTCGTAACTTGCAAAAAGTCTACTTTATATTGAAATTTTATTCAGAGTGCTGTCATCTTGCGGCCAGTAGCTACACTACGACGAACGACTAAGATCTGAACGAATAAAAAGTAGTATCGAGACACAACAGATTTATCGAGAGACAACAGATGTCTTCTTTAACGCACACGTTGCATAATGAACTTTATTTCGATTTTAAGTTTAAAATTTAAAAAAGACCCATGAAGCATTTTTTCGCTAAGCTTTTGTTCGTTACTAGCGTGGAAAATTCGAGATGTTTACTTAGTTCTCGACCATATCGCATGCAGATAATGTTTACTTTCGTTTGTTATAGTACAAAAAAGTAATTCGATAAACAGAACATTGAAAATTTATTAAAATAAGACTTACCGATGTTAACAAATACTACTACTAGTAATATTAGGTAATATTTTTGGTGCGTCTATCAGTTTTCCACTCCAAAATAGCACAATAAGGCATTTTTCTGCGATTTTAAAGACTTTGAGCGAAAGTATTGATACAACTACTCTAGCAACTATAGGCCCATTTCAATTTTACCAGCTTTAAGTAAAATATTCGAAAAGGTTATGCTAACTCAATTACTGTCCTATTTCGGTAGGAATCATATTTTTCATAGTGAACAATACGGGTTTACTAGTGGTAGATCGACAAGCGATGCGGGGGTAGCGTTACTAAAACACATCTTTGATGCTTGGGAAAGGTCCCAGAACGCTATTGGTGTTTTCTGTGACCTCTCAAAGGCATTTGATTGCGTTTATCATAATACTCTATTAGGAAGCTGGAACATTACGGTGTAAATGGCAAGGCGTCGAAACTTGTCTCGTCATATCTCAACGGTAGAATTCAGAAAGTAGACATAAATGGAGTGACTTCTTTGGGTTCTCTAGTAAAAATGGGTGTTCCGCAGGGCTCAATACTTGGACCTTTCTTATTTCTGATTTATATTAATGATCTGCCATTCTTTGTTAAGGACCATTGCGAAATAGTGTTGTTTGCTGATGACACATCCTTGATTTTTAAAACAGACAGACATGACATTAACTATGACCGTATTAATGATACCCTCTCTAAGGTAGTTTATTGGTTTAATGCTAACAATTTATTGCTTAATGCCAAGAAGACAAAATGTGTTAAATTTGGATTACCTAACGTAAAATGGACTTGTCCAAGCATAGAAATAAACGGAGAAAAGTTAGACCTTGTTAATAAAGCAGTCTTCTTGGGAGTGCCCTTAGATAGTAAACTTCAGTGGTTTCCAGATATATCGTCTCTGGCCAGCAGATTAAGCTCCGCTGCATACGCAGTCCACAGAATACGTGAGCTTACCGATGTAAGTACTGCTAGACTAGTTTACTTTAGTTACTTCCATAGTATAATGTCCTACGGGATTCTCATGTGGGGTAAAGCGGCAGATATTCAAACCATATTTTTTATTTTTTATTTTATTTTATTTGTATTGCAAAAACGAGCGATTCGTTCTGTGTACCGTCTAGGCTCTCGGGTATCTCTCAGAGAAAAGTTTAAGGAGACTGGTATCATGACTGTGGCATCACAGTACATTTACTCAAATATTTTATATGCCCGTAAAAATATACATAATTTCAATAAGAAAGAAGATATCCATAATATTAACCTTAGAGCTAAGTCCAAACTCATGGTACCACGATTTCGTTTAACCAAGGTAAACAACTCTTTTATAGGGAACTGTATACGTTTTTACGATAAGATTCCGGAGCATATATTAAGTTTATCATTTCCTAAGTTTAAAAACTACATTAAAAATATTTTGATCGAAAAATCATATTACAAAATTGAAGGCTACGTGTTAGATAAAGATGTGCGAGTATGGAAAGACGACATGGCTTCAGAATCCACACAAATTTGATTCAAAGTGTATTCCATAGCATTTAAGTTTATTTGAAAAGAGCAATCCCTAGAGTTTCTTGCTCGTTCTTCTCAGGGAGGTCAGCGTAGTGAACGAGCAGTAGCTTAAATGTGACGTTTTCAAGTGTAAATTTATTTTACCTATGGAATAAATAATCTTTGACTTTGACTTTGACAACCATAACGAAAAAGCGAAAATGGCGGACTGAGATCAAGTAGGCGGAACTACGTCTGCAGTTGGCACGCGAACTACGCTAACTAACCACTTCTACTGTGTTTATTGTTCTGTGGCAATTATATCCCTCGTAACTTTATATAGGCTGGTCAATTTATGGTGGTAAAGTGTGTTTTTGTTACAATTAAATTTGCTCTAAAAATCTGATTTTTTTGGTTTGTTCATATTTAGTTCATACTTGGGATTTTTTGTCTATGCTGTCCTTTTAGGTAGTTATGAACAGCATTAGCAAATTTCTAGTAGAACTCTTTTTGTCATTAGTATTTTTTTAAACATTTTGCATTGTCTATCGATAATTAAAAATGATCCATCATAAGGTCTAAAACCATATTTCTATTTAGGAATAATCACAAAAACGGCTTATGACTCGATAATAAATACATGTTATTGTACTAGCATACCAAATTTGAATCGATTTAATGCTAGATTTTAAATAAATAGAATGTCGTAGACCCAAAAAATTTACCTTTAAACTGACCAGCCTGTATAAAACGCGAACGTAAAAAACCTTTATTCCCAATCAAAATACGCATAATATAAACATTCAATTACGAACAGACGGCGGCGGTGGCGACGAAATTTTCATAAATTCGGCAAATAAATGGTAAGCGAGCAATTCTCCGCGAATCCCCCTTAATAGGGAGAATAAATCGTGAAATTAACTGTAGGATACTGGAAGTCATAGCTTAGTGCCGATGACAACGAAGGTTGTCTTGTTTAAAGTCGATTTGTTACGTTTATCGTTGGCCATCCAATTGAATAAGTAAAGGTTTTAAAATGGTTATTTTTTATTGGCACCGCTGTAATACTGCACATGTGATTAGTTTCTCAGCACGGTACTAATTGGTTTCTCAGCACGGTGTTAATAAGCTACACACTACTAAACTGAAAAATTTGATTATAGTTCATAGAATTATAATGTACATTTCCAAAAAAGAATGTCGTATTGCTGCTAATTAAAATAGTCTCCTTAGAATCGTCACTGTGTTCCTGAACAGAATAACGTCAATATATTTGTGGAATAATTAAAATGATTTCATTAAATAATATCTCAAAATGTTACGTAACAGGTATAAAGACGTAACCATTTGGCAATAAATGATTTTTTACGTACAATTTTAATAATATCAAACATGACGCTACTCCAACACTTGCCTCCTGATTGGTTAGAATATAAACGGCACTTGGCCAATCATGGCCACATGTAATGCTTTTCGTCTCTCTCTTTTCTTTTTGGTTTGCAGTGTTTGTTTGGCTTTCGTTAG